CGTTGAATAACAATTTGAACTTTTCAACCTGCGAGATCGTCGTATTTGGCCAGATATTACGCGTCTTATAACGAGGGCACCAGCGGATAATGTTAATTTCGCGTTGATAAAATGTTCGATCGATAGAGCTACGATATCTCATTTGTTTCGTTAGTCAGCAGAACGTTCTTTTTCGACAGATAATCAATAACGATTTTATCGAGGTCCTTTGTACCCTCATTCGCTTGATGTCCGTTATTTGTCGAGTTGATTGTTCTTGTACTCGCGACACGATAAACGTCTCGCGAAACGTTTCATTACGTAATGATTGATCGATGCTAGAGAGATAATGACAATTGTAATATCGATAACTGAGTTAGTTGCGAATATATTATATACGTCGCGTATTTCGTGTTTAGAAAACTTGTAGTATGCTTTTGATTACAACGCGATTTTAGTTTAAGGTAATAATCTCAAGATGATTAGAAAATGATTTATGCACCCGATGTCAAGTGGTAAAATTTCATTCAGTCATTTTCTGACAAATCTCATTCATCTCATTTTGACTCGTGAGGAAAGAAGCGAAAATATTGTCGATAAATCTACGGTTAAATACGGTTGAAACAATTATTTACAAATTGAACTTTCTGAGGTGTCATAGTCTTGACCTAATTCAAAAGAGTTGTTTTGCATTTCAACTTCTTTCAACTTCAATATGATAAGAGATATTTGCAGTTATTGTCGTTTCAGGAGGGCCATTTTAAAGAATACATAAATATGGAACAGAAATTTGCGAAAAAAGCTATGAATTGCGGCGGCAAGAATTTGCCGGTGTTCTCGCGAATATAAAAAGATAGAAGAGTATATAAATATTTTCGAAGCAGTTGCGAAACAGATTCTAACTCGCACGAAGGCATATGATTTTCGGCGTCATCATCCATGATTGCGCGAAGGTCATCCAGATTACCCAATCGGCGCGAGCGACGATTCTCTGCTTTTTCTAGCGACACAGTATCGTATAAAACTTTCCACGAGCCCGCTGATGAAGAGATATCACTAATCACGACGACATTTTTACAAAGTGAATATCAATCTAACGGAGGCAACGAGACTCGAATATTCGAGCGGTGGCGTGATCGATCGAATGATTTAATCAGCCTTGATGCAATTACATGTCAAACTTCCTTATTTTTCGTTGAACGTGCCAGTAAGATGACTTCGTAGTCAGTCGCACTCAATGGAAGGTCCTAATAACTGTTACCTTGAAAACACAGCGAATTACGTCATTCTTTGTATTCACAAGAAACTATTTCGTTGTAAGCATACAGGAATAGTTATTTACAGCATTGATAAAATCAGGCTGTCGATCTAATTCTAAAGGCATTCGATCGTTCAGGATCTGCGTCATCGATTATTTTTTATTTATTCAAAATTACACGTAATTGCGAAGATTCGAACGGTAAAAACGACGAAAAATACGCAGCGCACTGTACGAAAGAGGCTTATCGGTTGTCGAAAGTACAGGTATTCGAAAGAAATAATTTAAATCGGTCGGTCGTCCAGGCAGATCAGTCACCGAGGAGGGACGCTCGATCGAAGCGCCTCTTTTCCGCGTCGGCCATGTCTGTTCTGGCCGGAATCGAAGGTTCCATGCGACGCACGAACATCACACGTTATTCGTTCACTTGCTTCGCTGATGCCCGAGGTCGAAACTGCCTTCCTTGTTTATTAGAAGCGGAACACCTGACCACGTACCTTCTCGTTTACGTTTGTTCGCCTCTGAAACACGGCTTGTCGCTACTGCTTCTCGTGCCTCGACTGCTCCAAATCGTCGGATTCCTTGGTCGATTCTCTGCGACCCGTAGCGCGGCGTGACGTGCTTCTGTGTATTCTCTCTACTTCTCTGTGGTAGAAACGTGCGGAGGAAAGAACGCGGTCGAACGAAAAGGGAGGAACGATGGTCGAACGATCCGCTCTGACGAGTTTGCTTACGACGCTGCACCGGCACAAACACTGCCGCCAACCAGGTCAGCTCGTAGTAGCTTTATCCTTGCCCCCTCTAGATGCTGCCCCACCATGGGCCCCTTATCATCTTCGATTCCCACTCGTTCGCCATCTCCTCTCTTCTCTCGCTTTGTCATGCTGTACGAAGAGAAGTGGAAACCCAACGTCGGGGAAATTATTGCTCGCGTGGGTCCATATTTCTTTTTGGCATCGTTATGTGTATAGGTCGATGGTTTGTTAGACGAACCTAAAATTGCCCTAATATTAAAGTTGTTCGTGTCCGTTGTACAAATTGACACGAAAGGAACGCAATCGTAAATGCTTTTTTCTTGGCGATGTTCAATGACAATAGCGGGCCTTCGAAGCTTATAGGAACGACGTTCTTGCAAATAAGTCGCAGTTGTTCGTAGAGATTTTTCTACCACTTTTAAGGCCAGAATAACATTGTTTTTGTACCACGCTGTATTTATACGACTTAGTTAGAAACGCTAATGGAGGTCTCGTTAATCGGTCGTATCCTGTTCTGCAAATTTTGCTTTGCTCGGGTATTATGTACTTTGCTAATCGATAGACGTGTCAGGATCGATCCATCGTGCACGTCATTGGACGAAGCAAAAAGTTCGTTTTATAATTATAAGATGTGTCGTTACGTATTAATGAAAAGGTATCGCAAATATATATGCGTATTAAAAATGATATGTTAAAAGATGGAAACGTTATCTTCCTATTTGTATATCGATTTTACCGTTTCATTTCGTCGATAGTTATAGCAACTCTATCCGTCCTACGAATTTTACGTATGGGAAGTATGCGCATATCGTGACGTAATATTTGAGGATATTCGTAAAATAACTTAACGAGTGTACCGAACGCGCCATTAAATCCTCTATGAAAATTTCGCTAGTAAATACGGCGTTTCGAAAAAAACAAAGGAGGATCCAAGAATCACGGCCGATTGCGAGATCGTAAGTTACGAGAGTTTACAAACGAAGCAACTGATAAAATTAGTATTCATAACGACAGCCGATTTAATAATCGTCTCAACCAATGTTAAGTCGTTTTTAAAACACGTGACGATATTGACGTTTCATTATTGTGTAAGCTGCGGACATGTACTCTTTCCGCTTTGTACTCAATGAAAATATGAGTCGTTACATACTTCTTCCGTGTGAAAAAAAGATAATGATGTGACGTTATGCGGTGTTTTTATGAGAAGGCTACTTCGCAACGAAAGCAGAACGACCTTTTATGATATTCGTGGTAAGTCTGCACGAGGCTAATAAACTCTTGAAAATGGAGTAAGAAAAGGGTAGGACAGGTTCCCGGTTTACTTTCCATTCATTGGTCGAGTAACATCTTCCGTTTTATTTTTCAAAACAGCAGCTGCTGAACGTTGTTGATCGAATGTCATTTCGCGTATGTATGGCCGTGCTAATAGATTATATAATAACGCGTACGTTATACGCTCCACGTCATAAAAATAAAGCAGTAATAATAATAACATGAATCGATAATCGACCAGTTCCGTGGAGACATGGGATCAGCCTAAATTCGAACTCACCTTGTGTATTGATCGCATTATAACATGCAGACCGACTTTAGTCGCATGCAACTGCACTCAGCTGGAACTGCACTCAGCGCGATCTGTACGCGCTGACCATGTAATGCAACTGCATCCATTGTGATTATCGTGCGTCTATATTAATAAAACATCACGCATATACTTAAATTATTCTGAAAGCGTTTCGACTCTAGGCTTATCCTCGCTGCGCTGCGAGAATCGTTGCACGAATATCATACGAAACGTCCGATTCCGATAGTTTTCCGACGCGACGTTCGATCTGTTGGATTTTTATCGAAAAATTGCAATTTACGTTTAGGAGAAAAATGTATTATTCGAACGAACTGTACGGAGCCATATATCCGTGTAAAAGATTGATCCAGGTTGGGAAGGGATTGAAATCACGTTGCTCCAATTAATTAAACGAACGCATTGAACGTAGTGAATTCTGTAAATTCTCTATATAATTACGTTTGCAAACGAAATAGGAGCGGCTGGTAACAAGAACCGCGTGGTAACTAGTAATTTTCCAAATATTCCGTCCGTTTGTTTTCACTTTAAAACTCGCTTGTTTAAGCGATAGTTTCCGCTCAATCTCTTTTGCAATTATGTGCTTGTTACGAGTATGCAACGAAGTTTTAAAAAAATAGATTGCTTCTTTCTTTTTTTTTTTTACATGTGTGTATCGTATGTTTCATAAAGTTTTATAACATCGAAACTGGAATGTTGGAGAAACGCGCGAACGAAACGGATTCTCGGGCTAAAATGTCGGCTGCAGTCAGTTGAAAACTGCCAGTCACGATGACTAGGAGGCTCTCGTGCTCGACGTGGTTGCTCGATTGTTTGGCGAATCACGCTGCATCAACGAAATTTCTATGCCATGCAGGGATTATGTAGCTATCTCGAGATAATTTCTACGGTGAATATTGACTTCAACGTTGTGTCAATTTTCTACGCGTTTTGCAACTATGCTCCGCGCGTTTAACCGGTCGATATAATAGCGAGATATACAAACGACGCTGTTTACTGGGATGGTTCGCGTGAATGGTTATCGCGATACTAGTCTGCGGATGTGATATAAAAAAAATAGCTTGTTTTATTGATCGCGTGTCTGGATACGGGAGTACATCTTGTTCGACTGAATTTCCGTGTCACGAATTTTAATTTAAACTCGCGGCCGACGTGCCAGAATATCGAGGAAAAGATTGAATCTAGCTTGGCCAGACGTTGGAGAACATAATTTCATTGGGCATGTATTTTTAAATATTGAAAAATAGACTGCGATCGGAATTAAATGAAAACGTCTCGACCTACCGCGTTTGAAAAACGAAACGACCAAGATACGACGCGCTTAGTTGTGTTTCGAAACTCGAACGAATTGATTCGAGCCAGGTTCGGTAAGTTTCTTAACGGCTAGGTAAGATATTTACAAGAAAAATTCACTTTCTCCTATCGTTTCTTTGATATGAATAAATACATTTATTCTATATTAATTATACATTATCGTGCCAGGTTTCTGTGTCATTGGGAAACAGAAGAGAAGAGAAAGAACGAACAGAAACCCCCACTCGTAAAAACGAATAATCGTTTTATTCGTCGAGTTCGCGCGTTTATGCTGACTTTATTTCCTTTACGAGTACCAGAAGTAATAAAATATAGATGCATAGACGACAACAGCAACTGCGATCATCACCGGTAGCCACGGTGACCGTTCGTGCTTCGGTGGCTCGTATTCCCAGTTGTCGTCGTCTATTGTGTCTTGCGCGCCTGGCAAACAGAGATTAATTTATAGCTATATAAAATCACATGCTTGTTAGATTTTTCAAATTTCTTTAAATGTTTTTAACTTTTTAACTCGACCGTGTAGAATAACGAGATAGATACATAATTTGCGATTGAAATTAAGATGCGGAAATACGAGGTTCGTACATTAGTCGCAGTTCTATTGCTTATCAGTTTTTCAATATTATATATGTCTTGTAGATAGTGGATAACGTATTACTGGAAGGATGACCGGTATAGAAAATTTGACTGGTTATTTCACTCAACACAACCATGAAGATAAGCACGCGTATTAACCGAATGTGTCACGTATACAAACAAAACAACAGAGCAACGCGTAACAGTGCTGTTAGGATTAGTCATTTTTTCCAGCAACAGTTTCATACGTAAGAGATACTGCACGAATGAGTAAAAAGAACATTCTTTTTTTTACCTTCCATGACCTTTTTCTTTGTTGTTCTTTATATGACATAAAAATTGAAAGTATTATGACAAATAGATAACGTACCCCCGGAAGATGTGCCTGGGGAAGATGTCGCGTCTCCGGAAAGGCTACCGACCACCGTTCCAATTTTATAGTTCTCGCGAAGTTGTATAGCTTCGGTGGTGTGTCCAATGTCGTCGAAACATATCGTCGCGTCTTGCCCACCTAAATTCAACAAGACTTCCTCCCCGCCTGGATGTTCGCTTAAAAATTTTGTAATATCGTACACGCCGTCTTGATACACGATCCATAGATCCTTAGCCGTGTTGTGTTTCGCTACCTCTTGCGCCGAGTAGACCTTTGACATTTTTCTGTTTAATTTTACTCACCGGAAATTCTTGATATCTGAAGAATAAAAAATAAATCGGAGGTATTACTTTATTTTTTTTTTAAATCCTATCTACATAAAGATAAAGATCAGTCGAAAGTAAAAATAATGTTGACATTGATGTTTTGCCTATCTGTTTACGATACGTAGACTTATTTTACCGATATCGTTGAAGGAATTTGTAAACTTTGATCGGGTTGTCGAGTCGAGATTTCACGAGTGTCAGCCTTACGAAATCTATCGTCTTCTCGATCTTTGTAAAATCGTATTGCGATAGCGTTGGTGTCTGAACCGGAAGGCTGCAGTTCCAGTATCAAACTATGTGTCTTCGGTAACGGCTAAAGTTCGTACCTCGTATTGATTCCCGAGTCATTGGAGATTTCACATTGTTTTCTTTTCTTATTTTCCGTTTAAAAGATGTCTTGCACGAAGTAATCCTTCCGCTGGGAGCAAAAGAAATGGCACTGCGCGAGACATCAATCGTCTACGACTAAAGTCAATGGCCACGCGAACATTCCTCTTTTTTCTTCGAGAAAGCCGGTTTCTCGGTCATCTTTCACGTGCACGTTCGTATTTGACGCGACTTCCTATTCTCGTGTTTCATGATATTCACGGTACCCTATAGCGGATACATTTTTTGGAGAAAGACGAATATTTCGCGCGACATTCGAAGATCGTCCGATTACGCTCGTTTAAACATTCATGAGCTTAGTCGTCAATATTTTGTTTTTTACTTTGGTTGTGTGAAAGGATCCGGTAACGCCGTGTCATCGTGACTATCTAGTCGATCTAGGTCTCAAGTGTTTTCAAAGTCTTACAAAGTAGAAAATTTATATGCTATCCGAATGATTGCCGCGAAAACCTTCGACGAAAAAAAAAAAAAGAGAGAAAAAAGCGAAAGTATCAGAAATTAAATACTACTTTGCATTCAGAATAATCGAGGCTTACCTGCATAAAATTTGTCGACCGACGTTATTAACGAGTTCCTCGAGCTCCACCGATGATAATATTTTCGAAACAGTCGTCGTCGTAGCTAGAAACCAACTGAATTGGCACAATTTTTTTTCCTTACGGCGTCGAAGTTCGAGACTCTATGAACGCATAATGATCCGATGAAAATTCATGCGTCATTTGCGCAGTCATTTACACAGAATAGAACTGCGTTATCGATCGATAAATTCTTCATGTGACTATCGAAATCATGTCCGTTTCGTTTTAATACCGATGCCCACGGGCGTCGGTTTATTTCTCTGGGGAGTCGTGAAATAGTAAATATAAATTTGCACCATAGAGAGAACCGTGCAACAAAAGCAAATCGCTCCAAGAGCACAATAGACTCTGTCGGTCGCTCTCTATATTACGATTTTCCGAGTAATGGAATGTTTTCGCTCATACGGTGCTATATATTTCTTGCATTGCAGTATCCGGCCATTTAATTAGTGTAATCCTTTGTTAATTTGTCTCTGTCGTTAGACAGAAAGGAGCATAAATCGTGCCTGTATATCCAAATCAGTGTCCTTACACCGTTATCGATTTTTTCGTTATTTTTGTTATACGCCTCATTTGCACATGCAAATTTTGCACGTTTTAGTCTACGAGTTACCTTGGCTTGAATTCCCAGAATCTAGATTCTACCAACGCTCGATTTTTGTTGATATTTCTGCCAGCAGAACGTCGAGCTCGTACGATTTCTGTTCGTCGATCGATCGTTCGATCGTGAAATTATCTGCGTTTATTCTTTCAATAAAGCTCGTCAAGTTATTTGAATCTGTCGAATTGCGGAAGCATCGTGGTATGCCGTCACACGGTGAGAATCAACGTGTAAAGTTTAAAGTGCAAGCGTTAGTTGGCAAACCGGAAGTATTTAATATCTCGAAAGAAACAAGGTGGAATCGAGAGGCAAAGGGTCGAGAGTGTTCAGACAGATTCTGTCTCCGGTAAAAGCGATCCGGTTCTACGTGACCGGATGTCTGCGTTCGGAAACGGATGGATGGATGCAAGGGAAGCGGACGACGCTATTCGCTTTGATCTGTGTAATTAAACGGTGCAATTTCCACACAATGTCGAATATCCATTGCCGGGAACGCGTCTGCTGATTGGATTGCCTCGCGTCGATCTTTTCGTCCTCGCGGGAATGCCGAGCAATTTTCAAGGAGGAACAGCAAATTTTGGCAATTGTAATTAGTAGATATATTCGAGATCGAACGACTGGAAAGTGTCAAGCTTTCCACTTCGTTAGATTCGAGTGGAGAGGGCAGACGTTGAAGACCATCAAGGTAGATGAGCACGAACGACAGGGGTGCAATTATCTTTACATCTGCCAGTTCGTTCCTAATCACCGGTTCTCCTTTCATTACGATCCTCCCTGATTATCACGGCGAATAATCGCGTTAATTTCATCAAAGCTGTCTCACGCGATTCGACTTTGTTTCAAATCCATTGCAAACGATATCCGCGTTGTATTCCCGAGCGGATCAAGCAAAGAAAATGCAAAGAGACGAAACCTTCTGCGAATGTTGTACTCTGACAAACTGAGGTTTGTCACGATTCGTGTGATCAGAAGTCGATCGCTAATTTTAATTACCGCTGTGTTGCACGATATTTCTTTATTTCTTTCTTGCAACACCTCCCCCATTTTCCTAAGAGAAATCAGAGATCTTGGCACGATAATTACGTTAAAGCGTTTCTAGTAGAGAGAAAGAGAGAGAGAGAGAGAGAGAGAGAGAGAGAGAGAGAGAGAGAGAGAGAGAGAGAGAGAGAGAGAGAGAGAGAGAGAGAGAGAGAGAGAGAGAGAGAGAGAGAGAGAGAGAGAGAGAGAGAGAGAGAGAGAGAGAGAGAGAGAGAGAGAGAGAGAGAGAGAGAGAGAGAGAGAGAGAGAGAGAGAGAGAGAGAGAGAGAGAGAGAGAGAGAGAGAGAGAGAGAGAGAGAGAGAGAGAGAGAGAGAGAGAGAGAGAGAGAGAGAGAGAGAGAGAGAGAGAGAGAGAGAGAGAGAGAGAGAGAGAGAGAGAGAGAGAGAGAGAGAGAGAGAGAGAGAGAGAGAGAGAGAGAGAGAGAGAGAGAGAGAGAGAGAGAGAGAGAGAGAGAGAGAGAGAGAGAGAGAGAGAGAGAGAGAGAGAGAGAGAGAGAGAGAGAGAGAGAGAGAGAGAGAGAGAGAGAGAGAGAGAGAGAAAATGAAAACGCCTCTGTTGGAGAGGGATAGATTAAAGGTGACCAAATGGCTACGTTTACCGCTTTTAACCCGACCCTGTCTCTGAAAGTACAATCTCGAGAAACAAGGGGTCGACTGTTAACCAACTCGAAGCACGCGATCCGACCATTGGCGCCTCAGAATCGCACGACGTGACGTCGAGTTATCGAGCGAAGAAACGCGACAATCGTGATCGGTCGCGATTAAAGTTTCACTTTCTTTGCCCGTTGCTCCCCCGCAAAACTCTACGATTTTCTTCTTTGTTTCAAAGAAGCGATTTTATTATCGTTATTATTTGTTATAATCTTTACCTTTCAGCTTATATCGCATTTACTTTACATACATTGCAAACTCTTTTCTTCCTGTATGCATTCAAACGAGTCATTTTGCAAATGAACTCGCATCGTTAAAACGCATATGTACATTATATATCTACCTTTTTTTAACCGTATGCATTTTCTGTATTACAGAAGACCGGAGCGAGGATCAAGATCTATTCGCACTGCTGTCCTCACAGTACCGACCGGCTGATCAGCATTTGTGGCAAACCGAATACCTGCATCGAGTGTATTCGCGAGCTAATCGCCACCATTAAAACCGTAAGTATCGTCGCTTATTTCGTTGCTGATTGATTAGCAAGAAGCAAAATTAGAAACGCGAAACAATTCTTCTCGCTTTCGTTACGATCCTTCTTCAATTCTTCCGCAAATCCAAGAACCTAGAAACCCTTCACACGTCGAATCGAACAACTATCACAATGTCCATCGATAGAAGCGATCCTTTTAACATTTTATTCGATTATTTCAGTCTCCGCTGAAAGGCGTGAACAATCCTTACGATCCGCACAACTTCGACGACTACTATGCGGACGACTACGGTGGTTATGGAACGGGCGATGGTGGCCAAGGGAAAGGAGGCGGCTTCGGCGGTCCTGGAGGCCGC